GATTGGTTTTCAGCAGAACGTGACGATTTCACGTTTTGCGATTGATTCGATTTCGACGAATCTGATTGTTGAAATGTTTTCTTTAAAAATCTGTTCAGCGATAGCTTCGAGTGCGATTAGATTGCACAGTTGTAGAGATTACGTGTGCAATCTGTTTTGATGTGGATCTATCGTGGTGTGATAAAATATTCGTAGAGAGGCAAAGAAAATCGAAAATTATAAACTTTTTCTGGCATAGAATCGATGCATGTTTCAGTGTTAAACATCGCTTTTAACGCTTAAACAAAGGGGATTTACTAAATTAACCACCACTGTTCTAGATTTGAAGCTTTCGTGACTGCAGGGATTCATATTCTTAGGTTTTTTTGGTAAAGTCACGTAGGTAAAACAATAATAAAAGTAAAATCGTGCTGTGACGGTTCCACCTGAAGACGGAAGCTTGTGTTGCCTCCGAAACGTCGTGATTTTTATTTTATTTTACTTTTATTAATTACATTTTTTTACCTACGTGACTTTACCATAAAAAACCTAAGAATATAACCACCACTGCACACTTAATTGGTCTATTGATATACTTAAATCGATTATTAGGCGCATCCAACATGCATCGAAAAATTCGTGCATTATAAAAAGGGGCCGTCTATAAATGACGTCACGCACCTAGGGGGGGGGGGGGTCAGACATTTGTGACGATGTGTGACGAGGGGGGGGGGGTGAGAAATGTGACGTCACATCAAAATGCGCAACTTTAAAGAAATATAGACAACACGTTCTACTTAATTAAATAGACTTTTTAATAAATGTTTTCTCCTACAACATCAGAGTGCAGCGCCACATTAAATACGCACTACAATGACAATAGTTTAAAGCGATTTGAAGCATGTTTAATTTTTTTGGAGAGGGGGGGGCAGAGCTTTGTGACGTCATATTTGTGGGGGTCTGACTTTTTGTGACGCCGTGACGATGGGGGGGGGGGGGGTCCAAAATCGTCCAAAATCGCGTGACGTCATTTATGGACGGCCCCTTACCGATAGACTCAAATAATACACACAGACATGTTTGGCTCATTATAGTAGTAAATATTGTTCAAGCCATTTGTTTACCTTTTCTATACTACTTTGAACTCCTATCGTGGTTTGTTTGTTCTGACGTTCTGACCCATCCCTACTGGACATCTGCGAACAAGAGCTTTATAGCTCATCGGATTCCTCCAGTACAAATAAATAAATATTCCGATTTTGCATCGATCTGCAGTGTTCCACGCATGAAGGAATGAAATCGATTCCGGAGTTAAATCGACTACGGGAATCACCGAATCGTGACGTCCCTGCTAACCCCCTACCACCCCCCCACCTCCCCACCACCCCCCCCACCTCCACCCCCACCACCCCCCCACCCCCCCCACCACCCCAACCCCACCACCCCCACCACCCACCCCCCACCCCCCCCCCCCACCCCCCCACCTCCCCCACCTCCCCACCCCCCCCCCCCCCACCCCACCACCCCCCACCTCCCCACCACCCCCCACCTCCTCCACCACCCCCACTCCCACTCCCCCACCCCCACCACCCTCCACCTACCTCACCCCCCACCACCCACCTCCCCCACCACCCCCACCCCCACCACCTACCTCACCCCCCACCCCCCCACCTCCCCACCCCCCCCCACCACCCCCACACCCCCACCTCCTCCACCCCCACCACCACCCACACCACCCCCACCTACCCCACTCCCCCACCCCCCACACCCCCCACCCCCCCCACCTCCCCCACCCCCACCACCCCCACCTCCTTCCCCCACCACCCCCCACCTCCCCACCCCCACCACCCCACCCCACCACCAACAACCGCCACAACCACCGCCCCCTCCACCCCCACCTTGTCTCAGTAAACAGCGTCACGTGAGCGTTTTACGACACGGGCTTCAAAACACTTTACGACAGCCGTGAAGGGGTCGCTGTGTTAATCTACGGCAGCAGATCACTCGCCGCGTGCTCTATCCGCCGCGCGCGCATGCGGAGCGCGCTGCTGACAACAACAACAACAAAGATCAACACAACAACAACAAAAATAAGCAACAGACACATTGCGGCTTGCTCGTCGCAATAACCGCAGTGACAAGAGAAGTAATTTATCAACGAAGCGTCTTGTATGTGTGGCAATAACATGTCAGCGCCGCTCCCTGCCGTCGTACCGGCGACCAGGAGAGCCACCGCCTCGGTGAGTGGAGCTGAGAGAGAGAGGGGTGAGTGAGAGAGGGGTGAGTGAGAGAGTGAGTGAGAGGGTGAGAGAGGGGTGAGTGAGTGAGAGGGTGAGAGAGAGTGAGAGGGTGAGAGAGAGGGGTGGGTGAGAGGGGTGAGTGAGAGAGAGGTGAGTGAGAGAGGGGGAGAGAGAGAGAGGGGTGAGAGAGAGAGAGAGGGGTGAGTGAGAGAGAGAGGGGTGAGTGAGAGACTGAGTGAGAGGGTGAGAGAGAGGGGCGAGTGAGAGGGAGTGAGTGGGGTGAAAGAGAGAGGGGTGAGTGAGAGAGGAGTGAGAGAGAGGGGGTGAGTGAGAGAAAGGTTGAGAGAGTGGAGCTGAGAGGGGTGAGAGAGAGAGAGAGGGGGTGAGTGAGAGAGAGTGGGTGAGTGAGAGAGGGTGAGTGAGAGAGGGGTGAGTGAGAGAGGGTGAGTGAGAGAGGGGTGAGTGAGAGAGAGGGGTGAGTGGAGAGAGAGGGGTGAGTGAGAGAAAGGTTGAGAGAGTGGAGCTGAGAGGGGTGAGAGAGAGAGGGGTGAGTGAGAGGGGTGAGAGAGAGAGAGGGGTGAGAGAAGGTTGAGAGAGTGGAGCTGAGAGGGGTGAGAGAGAGAGGGGGTGAGTGAGAGGGTGAGCTGAGAGAGAGGGGTGAGTGAGAGGGACAGAGAGAGGGGCTGAGAGAGCGAGAGGGGTGAGCTGAGAGGGTTGAGAGAGAGGGTCTGAGCTGAGAGGGTCTGAGCTGAGGGGGATGAGAGAGTGGAGCTGAGCTGAGAGGGTGAGCTGAGAGGAGTTGAGCGAGAGGGTTGAGAGAGTGGAGCTGAGAGAGTGGAGCTGAGAGAATGGAGCTGAGAGAATGGAGCTGAGAGAATGGAGCTGAAGAGAGAGGGTTGAGCGTGTGAGCGTGGCTGAGCGAGCGTGCCAGGTAACATGGAGTGGCGGCGGCTCGTGTTCACCTTCCCGCGGTGTGATCCGCGGGTTCTATAGAAGAGGGCGAGGGGGTGTCTGTGTGTCTGTCTGTGTGTGTCTGTGTGTCTGTCTGTGTGTCTCTGTGTGTGTCTGTGTGTCTGTGTGTCTCTGTGTGTCTGTCTGTGTGTCTGTCTGTGTGTGTGTTTGTGTGTCTGTGTGTGTGTCTGTCTGTGTGTGTGTCTGTGTGTGTGTCTGTGTGTGGTCTGTGTGTGTGTCTGTGTGTGTGTCTGTGTGTGTGTGTGTCTGTCTGTGTGTCTATGTGCCTGTCTGTGTGTGTCTGTCTGTGTCTTTGTGTCAGCCTCGCAATGTGAACCACCAACCCTCGCCCGTTGTGAGTCGGCGGGAGGGTTTGGTTTGTTGTGGGTCTGTGATATCGTGGGTGCGTGTGTGTGTGACGAACATTCGTGTCGAATGTTGTCACGGACTACAACCGCGATGTCCTTAAGGCAACGTTGCTGCCGTGATCGTGTAGATCTAATTGATTCAAAGTCTGGTTGGAGTCTTTAAAAAAAATGGTTAATTAGCCAAACATCGGACATGTATCAGGACCCTCCTGGGGTAAGAGTGTAGAGACTCGGGATTTGCCGAGTCAACAGATGCAATGCAGTATACGTAGATTAATATTTAATATATGCGTGGTCATAGATAGTGAGGAAGTTGACTCGGCATATCATCTTATCCCCTTTCCCGGGTCGATAAATTGAGCACTTGGGTTTGAAGCAGTCCTCTTTTGAATTGGTTGACCCATGCCATAGGCACCTGGAATTTCCATCACTGGCTCCTAAGGCCACCCATGTGTGTCCTGTGTATGAGCGCCTCACGAATTGCTTTCATGCAGACGCATATTGTGGTGACGTTACAGTAATATGTGTGCCGTTCGTGATGTTTAATGTTTCGCAAGGCATGCTCATAAATAATCCTCAGCAGCAGCCAGGATCACCCCACTGCTGGATGAGAGAGCCTACCCAAGCAATCCTTTCAGCACCAGCTGCACACGAGGTCATTTCATCGCTTCATCTCCTCGGAGGATGATCTCACCGTCCCCTTAATTCCCTTGACCGTCACTGACCGCATGCTTTTATGCACAAAACTGAAACCTTTTTTTTTACTAGGAATCATGTTTACAATAATTACAAAACCTGCGGTCAGAATGCAAACAAAAAACACACTGATAATGTCATGCATTGTCCTTGAAATTGATTGAGGTTTCAGTTTTGTTGCCAGAAAAAGGGGAAAACCCTATTATTTTATTTTGGTACTGGCAAAGGAGGCCTCATGATGTAGATGCTTTACTCCGAGCCCTCATTACTCTGATGGTGCGTTGTCTTTGAGTTGTGCGCCTTTTGGCGTCATCTGGTCGAACACCGTGTGAGACTGGGCTCTAAGGAAAGCTTGTCTCTGGTGTGGACCAATCATTTTCAAGGACAATGCATTCATTATCAGAGTGTGTTTTTTGTTTGCATTCTGACCACAGGTATTGTGGTTAATATAAACATGAATCCTTGTAAAAAGGTTTCAGTTTTGTTGCCAGAAAAAAAGGGGAAAAACTGTTATTATCACTACATACCTGTCAACCCCCCTTATCAGTACCTACCTTATTACAGACCAATTCATACTTATTGGTCACCCATGCCCTTATAACTCTAAAACGTTCATCCTACAAAGTTCCATCACAAGGGAGAAACACAAACAAATAGACAGAAAAATGTTTCCCGTATTCAAAACGGCTGTATGCCGTATAGACCTGCAAACTAAATTCCCCTGTACAAGAATACGGGGTAAACCGTATGGGTTGACAGCTATGGAGTTCATATTCTTGGGTCTTTCGGTAAAGTCACGTAGATAGGTTCAAAGAAAATAACAAAAAACTACGACGTTTTTTTACCTTGAAGACGACCACTTGTGTTGCGATCAAAGCATCGTAGTTTTTTGTATTTTTCGTCATTTTCTTTGAACCTATCTGACCCAATAATATGAATTCTTGCAGTCACGAAAGCTATAAGTCAAGCTATGGAGTCGTATAATGAGTCTCAATGCGCACGCGTTTGCTTCATATATTTTTTCACTATAACTTTATCTTATTATTCGTATGCGCATGACACACGCGTGCGTTTTTCGTGTATCTATCCTGGACGAATAACTAACTCTGTGCAGCCGTGCGAGCACAAACTCTAATTAAATATTAACGATTGACGTCAGTGGCTTACATAAGTTAATCAGCGAGCCCAAATGTCAAACTCCGTAGTGCGGTGCCTTTTCTTAACGAGCGGGTGGGTGCCACGTGTGACCGAGGCTGGGAAAAACACACTCTCTATCACGACACAAGGGTGAACAACACATTTAAGACAAAGACCCCCCCCCCCCGTATCGTATATAGCCTCGAACAGATTTGTTAGTGCACGTGCTGGTAGCGAGCAGCACCTATTATATGGGCACATGTGGCTGTCTAACACCGCGCACAGCAGATTTTGTCTCCCCTAGGGCTGATGTTTTATGCACACCAGGTACAGTACTCATTTTAGGCTGAGTCGACCTAGCCGAGGCCCAGGGTCGGTTCAGATATTCACCCCCCACACACAGGCACACACGGTTACCACGTCTTAAATTATTTCTTCTTACTCTGACCTGCTAGGCACACTTTGTAAAACTACATGAGCTTCACTTCACGTCTCATCGGTCGTCTCTTAAACAATTAACAATACATATTCTTGGTTCTTTCGGTAAAGTCACGTAGAAGGGAAACAATAAAATAATAAAAATATAAAACAATTAAATTCTCACAGCAAAATTTTCTTGCTGTGTTTTTCACACCTGATGATGATTGCTTGCGTTGCAGTCGAAACGTCGTGATAATTTTATTGTTTTATATTTTTATTATTTTATTGTTTCCCTTCTACGTGACTTTACCGAAAGAACCAAGAGTATTAATCCCTGCAGTGATGAAAGCTTTAAATCTAAATTAACAATACAGTCTTTCAAAATTTGGAGAGGTGTTTAACATTCAATCTGCAGTGAATGGTGCTCGCATATGCAAGCGCTGTCGTATTTTTAGGCACATTGCAAGTCATTTGGTCAAAAGCGCTTTGTTGTTATTGTCGGATACATCCCACGAATACCATGTAGGCTTTTTCTGGTTGATGGCCCATATGAGATTAGACACCGACACATCGACCCTCCGCAATGCCAGGGCGACCACTTTGCATGAAGCCGGTGTTATAGACTGCTTCGGGACTCCGTGGCGAGCAGCAACGAGCGGCAGTGCAGTACAATCCGTTGTTATACCGCACTTTGCCTCTCCACCTTAACCAACCCGTGCCGGCCAGCATGGTGAAATATGGTCAAATAACCCCCACGACACCCACAGTGTGGGAAGCCCTTCATCCAGCAGTGGATTTATCGTAACTGATGGTGGTGAAGTTTTAAAAAACCCCAAAAACGCACGTAGCATGCACTAACCCATCCGTGGCTTCATTTCACTGGTAATTTTCAACCTGTCCATTGTGGACTTTACAAAACATCGCCGTCGTAGTTGGGAATGGTGGGGAAGCAACGCGGATGAGGTGGTCTACTTTTAGCAGGCTACTGTGGGCTCACATTTGCATGAGCTGATTTAGCCTTAGAGGATAATAAGGGCATGAAGCTGATTAGAGGGGACAGTGTAAATAATTGTGCTACAATCCTGGCTACCGTTCTTGGCCATAGCTGAGTTGAAATTTAGGTTTGGGTTTTTTTAGCTAAAGAAGAAAAAGTGCCGTTTATTTGAGTGAAATGTGTTTAGAAAACTGGTAGGTTGGATGAAAAAATATAGGCCTTATCAACAAAAAAACTTTCACTTAAGACCAAAGCACCTTCAGTAATACTAATACACAATTAATTGTGTATTAGCGGTCGTGTAGTGCTTGGCTCACTGCGCTATGAACCTTGTGACCTCCGTTCCATTCAAGGCCACGGCTTACATCAGTGGCAAATGTGAACTTGTCTAGGGCCTCCCCTGGGTAGACTCATAAATCAGTACCTGGCGCGGTGTGTAAACATGAGTGTTCTGGGAGACAAAGGCGGCCCCGCATAGTACCGACCACACAACACCCCTTAATGTGCGCCGTGCCGGCCTTCATCGGCGCTCGCTAACGGCACTTGCCCGAACAGCGCGTAAAAGGCTATCGGGGGGATCTTGCCTCTGCCGGTCGAACCATTGCTGAAAGAAGGATTCCCCGTGCCATACGAGCCATAGGTGATAGTCGACCATGCTGCAATGCTTGTCGGCGCTGGTTGGTAAAGATGGGGGAGCATCGCGTGGCACAGCAGTGGATCTTGCTGCACTGCCCTCTTGTGCGCAGCTCTGACAGCACCGGTATATTCACGGTGGTCACCGATCCAAGCACGATCCAGCCTCAAGCCTGCCTAGCCTCAGAGATCTGACGAGAATCGGCCAGTTCAATGCGATCTGATCATTGGCATGGCGGTGGCTACGCACACGCCTGTAATCCAACCTTGGGGAGGTGAGGGTTTGTGGATCGCACAAATGTTGTGAAACTTCCTTCCCATAGACGTCGAGGAGGAGCCTCTGACCCTGGTTCGTCCGGAGAAGGCGGTAGAGCAATGTATGGACTCCTATCATCTGACGCTTCTGTATGGGATAGTGTTGCTCCCTCGCAAGCGTGGGGTTTCTCCGGGTATTCCAGTTTACTCCCGCATGAAAATAAACGCTCATTAATTCGGCTGAAAAGATCTTAAAATATATGCACCTCCCTCCTTTGTGGGTTGCAATTTGTGCAAGGTTGCGAAATGCGATTTTTTTTTGTGAATGACGCTCCTGTATAAATAACGCTCGTCATTTAATCGCTCACTATGTATGTTTGTGTGTGGCTAACCTCGTATGGGCCCTCGCCATAAGCATCCGGAGAGAGTGCCTAAGTTATATTTTACGTAGGTCGTTTTGTTGTTGTTGTTGCGCTACACCCTGAAATGAGGAAGACACCGGTGACACGTGAACACTGACCGTGTTTGACAACAGCGCGCCTGAAACTGAATCGCACCACCTCGTAATTTCTCGGAATCTAATAGAGGGTTGAGCCCCGACAGCGCTTGGATGGGTGAGCACCATGCGTGCCAGGTTGTCACAGGCCACGCGGTGGGCAGCGCTTTGGCGGCGCAGCAACATCCATTGCTCGCCTCCTTCCCCAGTCCGCATTGACCAACTTGGTCAAAGTATGGTCAATTAACCTCCCCCCCCTCCACAACTCGCATTATGGCGTAGGGAGGCACCTCATCCAGCAGTGGATGCGCATGGCTGTGTTTCAGCGTTTTGGAGGCAAGGGTTGGTGGATCAGATGGAGATTTGCAAAGCTCCCAAAACCACAGGGCTGCAAGGTGGCCAGGAGCTGGGAGTACAGCAAATTATATTTTTAAATCCATCTTTGCGGGGCTTTCAGTGTTATCCCTTGGGGTATTCTGGTCTCCTCACACATGCATAAACACTAGTTCGTAGAGTTGGCCAAATGTCCCAACGTATGGCCACAGTGCTTAGGCAATTGTTGGCACCGGTTCAGTTTGCCCTCCCACTTGTTTGTGGTTCCTGCGACTCGGAATAATTCTCATGAACTATTTGCATTGGCGAGATGTTAACTACCTCGCCTGGTATACAGGAGAGGAGGTCATGGGAACGATCCTGACCCAGATGCCTGCTATATATTTGGAGTTTGCATGTTCTCTCTCTCTCCGTGGTCGCGTGGCTTTTTACTCTGCGTCCTCCGGGTTTTCCCTCCATATTTATAAACAATGTGCGTTTAGAGTATTTGGCTGCTATAAATTTACACGTGATAAGCCACTTCGTTGGGTTATGACTTGTGATGGCCAGGTTGCTTCTGAAAAATAGCTATGTAGCTCAGTGGGCCTTACATGGTAAAATAAAAAAATAGCGAAACATTTATTTAGTTGAAATATGAAATCAAAAAAAAAATAGCGAAACATTTATTTAGTTGAAAATCAATAAATGTGTTTTGTGGGGTCGTGTTCGGTCCGCGTGCCTTGCGTTTCTTACCCCTTGTGTTCAGGCACACTTTGACCGTGTTGGCAGTGACGCTGCGCGCTCATGCATCTCGACGCCAGGCGAAGATGTCATGCATCAACGTTTGCGGTCAGCCCTTGGTTTCCCCCACAGCAATGACCTTGCACTCCCTGGGAACACGACTCGTGAGACACTAAGGCAGTGTTTTCAGAGTGCTTGTTTGAGCCAGGCTAGGTGTCCGCCCTAAATGTTTTTAGGTGGAGCTACAATGTAGTAATAATAATAATTTATGAAAATGTGGTGCGTAGTTTTCGTTCACTCTGGGAGCAAGAGAATGATTCAGAGGCACGGGAAACCACAGACTAGCGGAAAAGCAGCCACAGCCGGTGCCAACAGTTTCCCAAGCTCTGTGGTCCTATATTGGGACGTTTGTTCAACTCCATTCAAGTGTGTTTATATACCCGATCATTATACAATCGTTAGACGTGTTACGTTTTTTTTTGGCCACTGCTCCGATATTGCGCGCACGCAAATGAAGCACTGGAGCACGGAGAACGCCACGTTTTACGCACGCGCAGCTGGAAAATGCTCGGGGGGGGGGGGGGGGCAATGAATGAAAGCCCTTGTGGCTGTTACTGTCCCGTGGAGGGACAGAGCTGAGCCTATTTATGTTTCCTCATCACGGTCGTCCCCGCCGACCCTGGACGACGCTCATAATGGTCGTAAATTCTCACCGTCGTCGGCCCAGAACCGCCCGCACGCCCACCCACCCACCCACCCGCCTACCCGCCCTCCCACAGGCCCCGTTTCTGAAATACACATCTCGTTTTCTACTGCGTCGTGATGGAGAGCCACTGCAATTTTCTCTCTTTATCCGCACGGATGGTTTTATAATCACGATAATTCAACGTAGAGCCTGCCGTGCCGCGGTCAGATACGGTTCGAGCGCCGTGTCGAGCCGTGGGGCTCTGCCGGGGAGAGGCACCCACACCGCTCGTCTACTCGGAGGCGAGGCTACTATGTGGCCAGATGTTAACTACCTCGCCTGGTATACAGGAGGTCATGGGTTCGATCCCGACCCTGATGCCTGCTATATATTTGGAGTTTGCATGTGTCTCTCCCTGCGGTCACGTGGATTTTTCTCCGGGTCCTCCGGTTTTCTCCTCCACATTTAGAATGAACGTGCGTGTAGTTGAGTTTAGTGTGCTCCCTGAAGAGGTGGCTGGCCTGGCTCTGGGTGTTCATAATGGCCGTGTTGGAGACTCAGAGCCACCACCACTGAGTTCCAAGGTTTCAGATCCGGGTTTCGGTCGCCTTTGATCGAATTAGCTTCTCGATTTCAGTTAGCCGATGGTCTCAATATGGTTACTAATTACCTATTTAGCTTTTTTATCTTACCAGGTAAGGCCCACTGTGCGATATAGCTCTTTTTCAGAAGTGACCTGGCCACAAATGATAGCTCAATGAAGCGGTTTGTTGCAGCCAAATACTCTAAATCTCATTTTCCTGAACGTGGAGGGAAAAGCCGGAGGACTCGGAGAAAAATCCACGTGACCACGGGAAGAGGGAACGTGCAAATTCCAAATATACAGGTGCCAGGGTTGGGATCAAACCTACGACCTCCTGCATTCCAGGCGAGGCAGTTAACATCTCGCCACCGCGGCGCCCCCGACAACAATAATAATGACACATTGCTAACTGGACTGGTTTTTCACTTAATTTGGTTGGACGACGAGGTATGTGCTGGATGATGGGATGTGATGGGCCGTGTGCTGTGTGATGGGTCGTGGGCTGTGTGAAGGGCCTTGGGCTGTGTGGTGGGCTGTGCGGTGGGCCGTGGGCTGTGTGAAGGGCCGTGGGCTGTGTGATGGGTCGTGGGCTCTGTGATGGGACTACGGGATGTGGTGCTGGTGAACGTTGCTCCGTGTTATGGAGGTCACCCTTTTCCGGGGAAAGGAAACGCAAAAGAATCGGCCGAGCGGCGGTGGAATTGGGAGCGTTGGCAGTCGGCGTTCGTCACCGTTAGCGTTTCGTCAAGTAAGCAAAATGAATCAACACGGAAAAAGAAAAAACACAATTTGGCACATTCCTTGATGTACATTCACAGAAGGGTATAAATGAGATGGTTTGTGGGTTTCTGAGTGAGTGGGTACGTGTGTGGGTGATTCAGCGAGTGGGTAGGTAAGCGAGTGCGTGCTTTGGGTGTGTGAGTTACTTCCTTTCTCTGCTTCACTTTCTCTGTCTCTTGTCCTTTCCCTCCCGCTCTCCGTGTGTATTTCTGTCCTCTGAGATGGCGTTTGTTATGTTCTAGCCGCATTACAATTGCAAGTTGTTGATTTTATTGTTGAAGCTTTTGAGCGAGCGACGGGGAAGGAATGATCATCGGTGCCTTCGTTTGTCGTGAGTTCTTTGCCACCGAAACTTCTGACGCCACGTTTTTTTTCCTTCCATCCCCCCCCCTCGTTCTCTTCCAGGTGATTTTTCTCCATGGCCTTGGAGACACGGGGTACGTGGCAAACGCCGTCTTACCATCGTCACCATCATCATCAATGATACCGCCAGGCGGTGTCGCATCCTCCGCTTGTTGCAGAGGTTCACGCGGTTCTAGCCCAGCGACCACCCCTGGTTAATGCCGCGCCGTCTGCTTTCACGGTGGACGTTAAAAGACCCCGTGGCATTTGCTCGAAAAAAAGAGTAAACCGCGTGCGTGCCGGCTTCACCGTCCATTCCCACCAGTTTTGAACATTCCTCGCCAAAAATTACCGAATCGGGTCAAGCCACGTGGCACCGTCACCCGTGAGACTACGACCGCAGACCAGTACCCGTCTGTGAAAAGCAGCGCCTTTTCGTGACGATAGCCTTGCGCGGTAATGGCCCAGATTTGCTACGAATGTGCTCAAGATTCATATGTATGCATGTAGCCAACTGTGCTGATCGGAGGTGCGGGGGAAGGACAATAAACTGAACACAGAAATCGGTTCTTAAAAGAAATTCGATTTGATACCATGAGAGTCCCCTTCGTCGGTTGAGCCAGGGGTGGCGGTGGCGGCGGCGCCAGCGATGCACGCCCGTTAGCCACCGCTGGACAGGGATGGTAGATCACGCGGCGATTTGTGGGACTCGGGAAGTATAGTCCAGGCGAAACAGCTGAGTCTTGAGAGAAGACACAAACGGGGCGAATGAGCTCGCCTGTGTCACCACTGGTGGAGAGGGAATTCTGTCGTCTTGGCGCAGCGCATGCAAGAGCTCGGTCACCCCAGGTGCAGAGTCTAGTTCTCGATACGTGGAGCAGATATAAACCAGAATATCGGAGAGGTAGTGACGGTATGCCCAGGTGTTTCAGCCGTTGAATGTAAAATGGTGCGAGGCCATTTAAGGCCTTGTATGTTAACAGCACTACTTAAAATTGTAGCCGAAATTTTATAAAAAGCCAATGCAGAGATTTTATTATAGGAATGGTAATGAAGCTCGCTTGAGCATTGTGGTGGCCGCGTTCTGGACCAGTTCAGCCCAAGACCTTTGTCGGAACCCCGAGGCATGGTGGGTTTTCTCCAGGTCCTCCAGTTTCCTTTGGCATTAGTCGGACGAACATCCCGATGCAGCAGCACCCTCTGGAGTACTCGTATTAGACTCTTTTAGAATTTGTGGATAAATAAGTGGAATTGTTACGGGCTTATAACCAATACCATGGATATAAAGCTCCAAACGCTGTGTGTGGCTCAATTGAGATACCAACTCCAGGGTTTAATCGAACCACGTGGTACAACGAGTGTGAACCGCACACACTGTGCAGCACACAATGCATCTGGAATATACACACAGTACACACGGAATATACACACATGGTACACATACCGACCGCACAGTGAACTACGCAGTCGAACACGTCACGTAGCACACAGACGCGCACATCACACACCGCGCACGTGGTGCACAGTACGCAGCACACTCGGCGCACACATCACATTCAGCACACGCACTCATATCACAGTACGCACAGTACACACAGCGCACAGTCATGGCGCTGTGTGTACGATGGCGAGATTACTACCGCTGCTACTGTGGATGGGTGGAGCCTTTGCGCCACTAATCTGCTTTAAGGTAATATGATTAGGGGCTGGTGCCCAAAGCTACACACTGAGCCTCTATCCATTCATCTGAGCACAGGCGGTGGCATGTGGGGATTTACATTCCACAAATATGAACACAGGGAAGATTATTTACACTATGAGATCTCTTTTACCAGTGGCAAAATATAATAGTAGGTTTTTACCCTTTTAACTGGTACAAAACTGACACCTTTATTCAAGGCATCATGTTTGCAATGACCACAACACAAGTAGTCAAAAAAGCAAACAAAAAGAAGCAACTCTGATAAGGATGATAATATGCACTGTCCTTGAAGTTGATTGGCCCACACCCGAGACGGCTTTCTTTAGAGCCTAGTCCCCATTGGTGTACCTACGCCTTCTGGTGTCATCTGGCCCTACACCAATGGGGACTAGGCTCTAAAGAAAGCCGTCTCGGGTGTGGGCCAATCAACTTCAAGGACAGTGCATATTATCATCCTTATCAGAGTTGCTTCTTTTTGTTTGCTTTTTTGACTACTTGTGTTGTGGTCATTGCAAACATGATGCCTTGAATAAAGGTGTCAGTTTTGTACCAGTTAAAAGGGTAAAAACCTACTATTACAGGGAAGATTGTTTCGATCAAAATTTATTACATTTGAATGTGTGGGTTCATTTGAACTCTCAATCTACGCAGCCTGAATTTGTTGAGAATGGTATCGGGTTTAACGCGTGTGCGCGTTTGTCTTTTCTGGTGGGGAGCGGTAGTGTAGTCGTTAGCGCGACGCTGCGTTACAAACCCGGCGAACCGAGTTCAATTCCCGCTCACGGCGAACACCAGTGATGGTTATCTGAACCGGTCCTGGGCCTCCCCGAGGTCGACTCAGCATCAAATGAGTACCTAATACTATGTGTAAACATCGCTACGAGGGAGGCAAAGGCGGCCAGGCATGGAGCTGGCCGCCCACGCTCCTTGCGTGCCGTGCCGGCCTTCGCAGGTGCTCGCTAACAGCACTTGTCCCCAACAGTCTGTTCAGTCTACACAGGAGATCTTTGTCTTCTGAGTATCATTGTCTGCAACATAATTACAAAGTTAATTACAAAGCTGTGGTGGAGCAGCAGAGCCCCTGGGCAAGAGGTTCCGGGTTCCAGACCTGGTCAACAGTTAAGCAACTCCTGTCCTGTTTGCCACTAAGATCATCATTGCTGAATCATCTTCGTCATCAACGTCATCAGAATCATCGTGGCTAAATAGTCATCATTGAATCATCACCATCATCGGAACGATTATTGTTGAATCATTATGCATCATCATGAATAACCATTTTCAGCATTATCAATAGTGAATGAACATCCATCCATCATCAGAATATTAATCATCTTTGTCATATTGTAATCATCATTATCATCATCATAATCCACGAATGCTACGATCATCATCCTCATCCGTCTAGAGTGGCTAAAATGGGTACAAACTGACACTGCACCACTCCGAGCGGGGTTGTCAGGAATGATCATCCTGCAAAGAGAATGGATCCCACCATGGGAATATGGAATTTCCACCGCTGGCTCAGGACAGCCATCAAAGACGTGCACCACCAAGTAGGGATTCACTTTGACATTCAGGAAAAAAATATTGCCCTTTACCCATGAAAGCCTCAATGGGTTTCAAAGAAACTTTTTTCAGGAAGGTCCTGCATTGGAATATTTGGCCAATTCCTTCGTGGAAGATTAAACAAAACCAGAGTACCCGGAGAAAAACCGCCATGCATACGAGCGGCGAGCACTCAAAGTTCCACCCAGATGTGTTCACGATATTCACTCGGTGCCATCGAGAAGCCTGGTGCAGAACACCGAGTCGTGTCCCCTTCCACCGTCTACATGGATACTTTGAGGCCCTGTTTTGTGTGAGGCCCGGCACAAATTGCCAATTTTACTCAACCCCCCCCCCCACTCAGATTGACCGTAGACCTACTTGCTTTACTGCTGCCACATGGCCTCCTGACAGCAGTCACCCAGTGGGGTTGGTCGTATCTTTGCCTTAAATGGACATCCTGTTTTTTTCTTTTTCCTTCGGTAGCCACGGCTGGGCGGAGGTGCTGTCCGAATTCAAGTCGCCGCACATCAAATACGTCTGCCCGCACGCGTGAGTGATGTCTCGGCAACACCCGCCGCCCCCCCCTCTGCCCGCCCTCTCCCACGGGTGTCCCTCTGTATGGGTGCCATGGTGGCAAGATGTTTACTGACTCGCCTGATATGCAAGAGGTCATGGATTCGATCCCGACCCTGACTCCTGTTGTGTATTTGGAGTTTGCATGTCTCGCCCCGTGGTCGCGTGGATTTTTCTCCGGGTCCTCCCATTTTTCCCTTTCACATTTAGAATAAAAATGCGTTTGGCTGCTATATATTTCCACGCGATGAGCCACTTTGTTGAGCGATTATTTGTGGCCAGGTCACTTTTGAAAAAGAGCTGCATAGCTCAGTGGGCCTCACCTGGTAAAATAAAAAATTGTTTAGTTTAATCGTTTACTCTGCACGTTTGCGTTGTTCCACTCTGTTCGCCGGCGTTCTTCCAGATCAAGGTGAGTGCTGGTCGGTTTGGAGTCAGGAAAACCAGAACCCAACTTAGGATGTCGCAACAATGTCCTAAGTTTGTCTCAAGATGGGAGTTTTATCGTAACTCCCGAGTGAGTAAGAGAGTGTACGATATTGGTCTGTTCGTCAAGTTACGGTCTCACTCCGATATTTGCTTTCGTTTTCTCTTACAACGTTTTAGGATCGCAACTTTCAACCGTATGCGTTGTTATAAGTAGAACCAGGTCCGCGAGCGGGGAGCTCCCTGTTCAATGGTCACTACTGAGATTAACGGCTACTGGACATGTGTGGAAAAATAGCTTCATAGCTCATCGGATTCCTCCTACAGTATCAATAAATATTCTGATTCTGACTCGCTGTGTCCGGGAGCCCAGGGGTGGCTGGGAATCGTGAGACTTGGTGGTGAATGGGATCCGGCCTCCCCCCCCCCCTCCCAAGGATATCCTTGGCAGAGATGGGCAAAACACATTAAAATTACAAACTACTAGAGCAGTGTAATGTGGATAGGTTACCAATTACATTGAGATGTGTAATGAAGATACCAATTACAATGTACAAATGGAATGATATAATACTGGTCAACAAACAAAAAAGATTTTTTTCTGGCCAGGACTTTTGCAGCTGTTTTAGACTAATTTCAGGGTGCTGATTCCAAATCTGATCTCAGATTTGCTCTATCACATCTCATTTTATGCTATTGGCATACCCCACTTTCATTGATTTTACCTGAAATTAACTCTGTCACTTATGATTGCAAGTTGTTGCGAGTCAGTGACTGCTTTAGTGTTAAAATATGGTGCTGTATTTTTAGGATAGTGTGTTTATAATATCATTTTATGTAGATATCCACATTTATTTAATATTTTTCTTCTGCAGTTTTTATTGAAAATGCAATATTTGATATCTCGAAAACCTGATGTGATAGACAAAAACTGATGCCAGATTTGGAATCAGCACCCCAAAATTACCTTAAACCCGTTAGAATACCTTTTGCCAGAAAAAGTGTGTTGACCAGTGTAATATATTTAGATTTCATGTAATTTGGATACTGCCAACCTCTGCCACCGCCTGGACTCTTTAGTGCTGCCCCGGCTGTCCCGGTTGCCCCTGGGGATGATCATTGCACTTGTTGTTGTCGTTGATGTTGGTGCTGGGTCTCGGTTTGCTTGGTGTCTCTTTTCTCTCCCGTGTTTCCCTGCTGTGATGACCCCACCCCCGCCTGCCCCCCCCCCCCACCAACTCAACCACTCCCTACCCTCGTTTAGTTGTCTGGCAATTATTTTTAAGTGTCTGGAGATGCGGTTGCATGTAGATGCTGTGTACATTGAAATCGAATTTGTTGTCGTCGTCGTTGTTACGAGTGGCTTTATGATAACGTTGTTCATGTTGTTATTATCTTTTTTTTCTTCTTATTCTGTTTCTTCGTCGTCTTCTTCTTCTTTCATTCGCAGACCTCTCATGCCGGTCACGCTCAACCTGCGACAGATAATGCCGTCTTGGTAAGGCACGGATACGCGCACACAGCAACAAGACAAAGACAAAAAATCCCCCGTATAACCTTAATAGACTCTTGCTAGCGAGCGCCTATTAAGGCTGGCACGGGCACACGAGGAGGTGGGTGGCCAGCACCGCGTCCGGCCGTCTTTGTCTCCCCAGTACTGATGTTTACACACCGCACTAGGTACTCATTTAAGGCTGAGTCTACCTAGGAGATGCCCAAGACTAGTTCAAATATTCGCTACTGTTATCGGTCGCGAGCGGTAATCGTACTCGGGTCGCTGGGTTAATAGCGCAATGCGACAACCACTACACAACGGCCCACACATAGTCAAGTCAATTTTATATGTGGTGCCTTGCTGGCACAAATTTGCCATTCAAAGCGCCATGACATTAATACTCAAAGAGACAAAGACAAGATCCCCCGCGTAGCCTTAACAGACTGTTGGGGCAAGTTGCTGTTAGTGAGCACCTATGAAGGCCGGGATGGCACACGAGGGGGTGGGTAGCCATCACCATGCCCGGCCGCCTTTGTCTCCCCAGTAGCGATGTTGACGCACCGCACCAGATACCCATTTGAGGCTGAGTCGACCTAAGGGAGACCTGAACCGGTTCAGATAATCGTCACTGTTATTGGCCATGAGCGGGAATCGACCTCGGGTCGCCGGGTTCGTAGCGCAGCATGTTAACTGTTAAACTATCGCTCCCTACAAATACAAAAGCACACACACACACACCTGATAACGTGGGCCAGCAGTAGCGCATTCACCGCTCGTTGCAAGAGGTTCACGGTCTGGATCCAGCGGCCACCCTGGCTCGCCAGGAGATGGCAGCAGAACAGGCGGATTCATCTCCAAATTGTATGGGGGTGGGACGGGGGATAGATTGTTTCTCCCTTGCACTTGTGGGTTTTCTGCGGGCGCTCCTGCCACACTCATAAATACTCATTGTTGGAGCTGGTAATATTGATGGTGCCGGTTCTTACGGCTGACGTCCAGCTTAGTCTGTGGTTCCCCCCTCTGTGTCTATAAATCTAAAGCAATCTTGTGTGACAAATGTGTGAATTGAAATGGAGTCCATCACCTTTGACCTTTTCGCCGGTGAGTGACCTTTGGCTCTCAAATTATGATCCCTGGCACAGGTTCGACATCATCGGCCTGAGCCCTGACGCAACGGAGGACGAGGATGGGATCAAGAGAGCGGCCGAGACCGGTTCGTCTTAATCATGAATGTTTAGCGCGTAGGCTTTTGCAACCAACATTATTCATAGTAAAGTGTTTTTTGGTTAGATCGCATGAATATAATTGTGCCGTTAACCCACCACCACCACCCGACACAACCAAATTTTGTCATGTAAACAAAACTACTTCAGCACACCCGGCGTGTTGGGTGAAGAGACCCACAATATTTACAATTTGAGTACGACGTTTCGCTGGTGATTAATGCAAATTCACAGCTCCTTTGCCAATCCACAGTAATAATATTTACGATGGATTTCTTGTGTAGAATGTGTGCGGCGAGTGGCTGACAGGTTAAAGAGGCGCAGGGGCAAAGCCCGAGTATCACTCGAGCGCTCGGTTCCTGTCTGGACGTTGCCTTATGCTGTCTGTCTGATGGCACAGTGGATCGGCAATGTGGCTGTGATTGTGTACGTGTGTGTGTGTGCGTATGTACGACTATTTGTGGGGAGCGGCAGCGTGGTTATTAACACGTTGCGGTATGAACCCTTCGGCCCGTTCACGGCCAACACCAGTGATGAATATTTGAACTCGACCTGTGCCTGCCCTAGGTCGACTCAGCCTCAAATGAGTGCCTGGTGCGATGTGTAAACATCACTACTCGGGTAACAGGCGGTCGGGCGTGGTGCTGGCCCACCCATCCCTTTGTGTACTGTACCGGCCTTCATAGGTGCTCGCTAGTAGCACTTGCCCCAACAGTATGTTAAGGCTATACAGGGAATCTTCATCGTTGTGCATGCCCCCTATATGTGTGTGTGTGTTTGTTTGTTCTAGTGCGGGGTCTGATAGAGCAGGAGATTAAAGCCGGGATCCCGTCTCACCGCATCGTACTGGCCGGATTCTCACAGGTACAGCAGCCGTCGCACGCACCCACCCCGCGCACCTTATCTGCGCTGTCATTCCCTTTCACGAGCTTTCTTCAGCACCACGAGGACGTCTGTCTTCCACACGTGCCTCGTGCGTTAGACGTTGCACGTCGCGCCCATTGCGACGCTTATTTCGAGACACGCGTGTTTCAAGATGCACGCTTGGCGTGATATACGTGTGTTGCGGTGTGCAATGGCGTGTGTTGTGCTGCACGGGTTGTGGCGCGCACAGGGTGGCGCTCTGTCTCTCTACACGGCGCTCACAAGTCGGCACAAGCTGGGCGGGGTGGTGGCTCTGAGCTGCTGGCTGCCCCTCCGAGACTCGTTCACACAGGTGACACCCTCGTTACCAACACCACCATCACCAACACCACCATCACCAACACCACCATCACCAACACCACCAACACCACCAACACCACCACCACCAACACCACCATCATCAACACCACCATCGCCAACACCACCATCGCCAACACCACCATCGCCAACATCACCAACACCACCATCGCCACCATCGCCAACATCACCATCACCAACACCACCATCACCAACACCACCAACACCACCATCACCAACACCAAAACCACCACCAACACCACCATCACCAACACCACCAACACCAACACCACCATCACCAACACCACCATCACCAACACCACCATCACCAACACCACCATCGCCAACATCACCATCGCCACCATCACCAGTATCACCAACATCAACACCACCATCACCAACACCACCATCACCAACACCACCATCACCAACACCACCATCGCCAACATCACCATCGCCACCATCACCAGTATCGCCAACACTATCAATCACCAATATCGCCATCACCAATTCCATCCCCAATATCACCACCACCAATTCCATCACCACCATCAGCAATATCCCCACCAATAATACCGCCGCCAACATCACCGCCATCACCACCGTCAAACACAATTACCGTACGCGGTAACTTTTGTGAGTGCCTGGTGCAGTGTGTCAACATCCGCGGTGGGGAGACAGAACAACACAGGTGTTGTACTATATTCTTAGGTTTTTTTCGGTAAAGTCACGTAGGTAAAACATTAAAAAAGTAAAATAAAATAAAAAATAAAAATCACGACGTTTCGGAGGCAACACAAGCTTCCGTCTTCAGGTGGGACCATCACAGCCACGACAGCTGTATCAAGTAAATGAGAGATTGCAGGAGCTACCACTCCGTTTATATAATGGTTGGAGAAGGTGGTGGGGCAAGGGCCGCATACTTTTGTTGTACTGTCCACACCGCCTCCTCGTGCACCATGCACACCTCGCTAACAGCACTTGCCACAACAGTCTGTTAGCGGCTACACGGGGGACCTTTGTTCTTACTTGTGTCCGTACGTGTGCGGTCGTCGGGCGAGCGGTGGCGCAGCGGTTAGCGCACTGCGCTACGAGCCCGGCGGCGAATAGACTACTTGGAAATTCCTGCTCGTGACCAATAACAGTAGCGAAATATTTCACCCAGTCCCCTGGGCCTCTGCTAGGTTGAGTAGCTGTGCCCAGACAAAGGAAGCTGGGCATGGTGTTGGCCACACCGACCCCTCAGGGGCTCCGCGAGCGGCACTTGCCTCGACAGTTTGCTCAAGGCTACACGGGGCATCTTTGTCTTTGTGTATACAGTTAGGTCGACTCAGCTTTACACATTGACACCTCGTGCGGTGTGTCGGGAACATCATCAGCACTAGGGAGACAAAACGTGGCCGGGCAGAAGTTGGTGCAGGTCCATACGGCCTCGCTCATTAGGTGTGCCTGCGGCTCCCCATTGTGAAAGACCCAACAGAGAAAGTCCCTGGTATTTATCATGGCCTACCTTAATCTGCATCCGTGTAAACCATGCTGCACAAATGGAAAATTTCACAACTTTCCAGTGTGCGACTGTGGTCATCCACAACAGACACAATGCCCGACCCACCAATACAAAGGAGACGTCGCAGCGATACACTCCGCTACTCCTGACGCGGTTATCTGGCTTGACCACCTGGATGTGAAATCGTAGTTGTTGCTCTGCGTCTACATCAGCCATAAGAAAAAAAGAAGAGATTAGGTGCGCAGTTCTGACCGTCATCAGTTGCTCGCCGACAGCAACCTGCGCCAACGGCATCTTTGTCTTCTTGGTTCTTTCGGTAAAGTCACGTAGAAGGGAAATAATAAAATAATATAAATAAAACATAATAAAATAATTATCACGACGTTTCGGCCACAACGCAAGCAGCCGTCCTCAGGTGAAGAACAGGTCTGTCGGGAAGACGCTGTCTTCACCTGAGGACGGCTGCTTGCGTCGTGGCCGAAACGTCGTGAGAGTTATTTTATTATGTTTTATTTTTACTATTTTATTATTTCCCTTCTACGTGACTTTACCGAAAGAACCAAGAAGATTAATTCCTGCAGTCACGAAAGCTTTAAATCGAAATTTAAAGGCATCTTTGTCCTTTTGGTTTGGCGGCCACAGTCGGACGGGACGCACGCCGGCGTGCCGGTCCTGCAGTGCCACGGCGAGGCGGACCTCCTGGTGCCACCGCTCTTCGGGCAGCTCACGGCCGACAAGCTGCGCTCCCTCCTGGGCCCCGACGCCGTCACCTTCAAGACGTACCGTGGCCTGGGACACTCGTCCACGCAGGAGGTGTGGGGGGGGGGACCGGGGGGGGGGGTAGCGAGCCCCCCTAACGCACGCACGAGACCAAACGATTGTCCAACGACGGCAGCAGCTTAATCGCTCGCTCACTCGTGATCAATAGAGCGCTCGTTCACTCGCCCACTCTCGCGGTCAAGCTCGCTCGCTATCTCTCATGATCGGTCGGTCACTTGCTTGCACTATTGCTCATTTGCTCACCCACCCTCATTATCGATCATTCATTCGCTCACTCGCTCACCCACAATCTTATTTGAGCAATCCCTCCCATCCATGCAAGAGTTGGCGAGAGTGGCGATTTGCTAAACCATCTTCCGATGGCTTAGTCGCTCATTCGTGTGAATGCTCAGTTACTCCCTCGCTCACTCTCACGTTTGCTCAATCACTCGCTCGCACGCAACGTTCTACTCGATTGCATTGCAGCCACAAGTCTGATGAAAAAACCCCCACGTTCACTGAGGTGTGGATCGTGCCCTAAATGTTTGATTTTTGTCTGAGCGATTGTGATTATTTCTCTTCCCTTTCCCCTTGTGTCCCATTAGGAGATGATTGACGTCAAAAAATTCCTCGAAACGCAAATCCCCGACAGCAACTAGGAGCGGACAACTTTTATTTGGGAGTGGACACTGTTATGATTATTATTACTGTTTTCATTATAATCGTCATTATTGATATTTGTTTTCACGAGCCTAAAAGGCAAAACGAAACAAGAGGGCTTCACATATTCCAGCCTAAAGAAAATACATTAATTAAAAAAAATCTACGATAGAATTTGACGAGAGAATATTTATAAGCGACGTCACATTCCTGCGGTCAAGACATGACCGCGCAGTTTGCTTCCCAGGGCTTCGTTTTATCCGGAGCTATCCCGGGGACTGGACCTCCTGAAGATATATCCCACGCGGTGCCAGCTTAGCGCTCCGTGATTTATCCCAAACTCCCCTAACACCCGCGCGGGGACAGGAGTAAGACGACTCCTGTTTTTTTTACTTTCCTGAAATAAACGCAATTTTTTTTTATAGCTTTGAGATATCTTACACGGACTTTGCTGTAACGACATCCGGAGGTTTGTGCATTTTATTAGCACGCGTTTCTATTTAAGATGCGGCTTTTTGTAAGCGAGAGACGCCCGCATCGACCTCGGTGTAGCTGGGAAGATGTCGTAGACCCCATGTAGTTTCGTAGAATTTCGTCAATGACAAAACATAGGTGGCATCATCACGGTGCCCAAACAAGCGTTGATTTGATCTTAGCTCTGCGAAGTAATAGCATAAATAGGACTTTTATTTAAATAACTTTTTATACGCTGCCTCAAGGCTTCATATTATTAACGGCTGGTCTGCGGATTCTACTTTTATATCCCACACTTGCGCTGCAGTAATTTATGATCAATTAATAAAACATGTAATTGCCGATGTATAGTTTTCAATTGCAGCTTTAAAGCCATGTTTCGGGATCCGGCTCAGGACCTATGATCCCGTTGTTTGGAGGTCTTGTGGAAACTGCTTCCTACTTGTTTCACCAGCCTCAATTTATACACAGCTGTGGCCAATCAAAGAGAGGGGGGGTGGGGTGGGGTGGGTAGGTCAACAGGAAGTGAGGCGTCCACAGGAAATTACAGCATTTCCAAGTAGAATGTAGAATTCAAAAACGTATCAGCACGTGCGATGCCACGTAATCGTTAATGTTTGCCCCCTCCCCCCTGAGTAGCCAATCGTCACACATCTACTGTGGGATTGGCTATGATGCCGGGATCACGTGACGTCCCCACGGACCAATTGTGTTTTTTTCATCGGGCAAGCCCGGATGAAGTTTTTGGGGGACTGTTATAGTTTTGGAGGTGTGCCCCCTCGTAAATGCAATCCATTCCCTGTTTCAACACCACGACATGCCTGGTGCCCATTGTTATTCACCTTGGTTTATTCAGTTCTAGTTTTGAAATGTGACATATATAGACGAAATACATATGCGCAAAGATAAACGTTAATACTAACACAACTATTTTAATCCGGCACAGAAACCTTAACACTCACAGTAACACTATAGCTTCAAATACCAAATTACACCGTTTTGCATTTCACAACGTATGTTTGTCGGGCATTCTCTCAAAATCTGAGGCTCCAGGCTGCAATTCCCCCCCCTCCCCCCCCCCCCACGTTAATCGGGCCTTGCCACGGGGGCTCGGTTTGCGTTATTTCTTTCCCCGCTGCCCACTCTCCCCACCGCGCGCCGTTAAACAAGCAGAAACGTTTCATCGGCGTCATTTGGACGAGGATTTTTTTTCGCGAAAACTCTGCACGCAGATTTGTTCACGACAAAAACTCGCGCTAGGGCGAACGCCGACTTGTAGAATAACAACGGAGTGTTATTTATTTGTGGCTCCTAGGTAATTGCGATCACTTGTCCTTGTGTGTATGATATTCCCAACCCACTTCCTGGGGTTTGAATGGGGAGGATAATAACCCAACACGGAGAGACTATGATGCCAGCTTCTATCAAATATTCGGCAGTCGGCGTCTGGTAATTTTGTATCATCTCCCCGCAGGTGGCGGCACAATCACTTAACGATTCACCCGCTTGAATCCACCTAACCGTTGACAAAACTACCTTCCGAACCATTAACTCTCGTGGTTGTGGTTCATCGAGTTTTTCCAAAACGCCCATCGATGACTGGTCGACGTTTGTGTCGCGTCTTCCTTCGCCCGACCGCCGGTGGGCGTGCAAATCGAGGGGGCGCCGAGGAGCGTTGGTGGGGGGGGTCGGTGAGGAGAGTTCGGAGCGGATCGTTACCTGTGGGGTCACTGCTGGACTCCGGCTGCCGTCACCACGCCAGGGGTGTGCGCGTGTGTGGACCCACCTGGGAATGGGCTTCTCGGGAATAAATCCCGAGATATCTAAACCACGACCGTCTCAGACTCCTCTGTAAGGCAGCTTCTGCGGCGTGTCCACCACCCGGCCGTCTCAAACAGCCCACCTCCGTTGTGCGTAACCCAGCCGTTTGAATGCGGTTGCCCGATGAGTGATTTCCAAGCGAGCCAAGAGGCAGAAGTGTGATAAACCGTTTATTTTTCCTTTAAAAAAAAATCACTTCATTGGTGCCTCGGGGGAAGCCAGAAGCTTGAAAACACGGCGTTAACTTCTTACAGCTCAATCGGACAGCCAGGTGTACACTTGAGTTCGCAACAGCAGCGGATATGTAACGCGTAGGCTTTCGCGACCAATGTCATCCATAATGCAGGTTTGTTTTTGGGTTAGATCGCGTAAATGTGTCGTTAAACCCGCCACCACCCAATACAGCCACTTAATAAGGTCTATCACGTAAACAGAACTTGCAATTTCGTTACTACTAGTACAGCACACACCGTGTTGGAGAGCCAAGCCACAACATTTACAATTGAGCACGACGTTTCGCCAGTAATTACAACGAGCATCATCAGGTGACAAGCCTGATTGTAAATGTTGTGGCTTGGCTCTCCAACACACCAGTGTGCTGTACTACAAACGAATTGGCATGTTCTGTTTACGTGACAAACCTTACTAATTAGCTGTGTCGGGTTTAACGACACATAAAATACGCGATCTAACCCCAACCCCCCCCAAAAAAAACCTGTATTTTGGAGCAGCTGATATTCTTGGTACAAACTTTTTGGCGATGCTTCGTTGTTTAGAATCTTACAAAAACACGCGTGGAATGGGAATTAGGGGGTGAAAGTATTTGCCCCCGCCCGTCGGCAACTTTCCCTGGTGATTTGTCATGAACCACGACTGTCGTTCGATTCGAGAATCGTTTTGCATTTTTTTTTTATAAAACGCCGCGGTCAGCCGGTGACCTCTGGTGGCTGCAGGGG